TGAACTGTCAGAAAACCTGGTAGCTTTTATGCTATATATGACTGCTGTCCCCGCCCTAGTGCCGAAAAAACTCGCCGGCGAGTGCAAAAGTTGCAACAGCTTCGCGCTATTTAAAGGGCACTAGCTCTCATCAACCGCGTCCCCCGACTTGATATCCTAGCGAAAGCTATACACTGGGATGGACGTACCAAATCACCAAATAACTTGCAATATCATTGGAAAGTCGTCTATGCAAGCATTATGAGAACACCTGGCCAACTTTGCATATCTCAGTCGAATGTGCGTCTCCATGACGTGCTCACAACGCTGTCTTACCTTCTTATGTGAATAATGGGCGAACGGACAGTCAGAATGATGACATTAACTTCCGATCGCGAGGATGTCTTCTGCTGAGGATTCCATCGACCGGAAGCTGTGAAGCATCAGTGCCAACACTGATGTTGCTGTCATTGATGATGATGATGTTAACCTGATGTGGTGCAGTGATCCTATAGGATACACTAGTTGGAACTCTGTTCCTCAAAATTCAGCCAAGCTAAAGGTCAAACTGGAGGAGTCAGACAAAGGGCAGATAACTTCCTTGCTATGAACTATCTCATGAGGTAGTCGTACTGCCCTCCGCGGCAGGCGAAAAGGCAGTAGATTAGTTCCGTTTGGCTTGGTAAACAATCCGTAGTTCCTCCTGAATTTCACTATGTAAAGAAACAGCTATGCTGCCTTCTCTCGAAAGGGTGGGCGGCGAGTAGAGGCCGACCCTAAAAACCGGAGTGTCCAACGGTTGGTCACGCCTGCTAACATGAGTAAGCGCATCTCCCTCAACTTCTTTATTACCGAATTAAACGAAATGCTTTATTAAAACCAGTGTATCAATAATGAGAGAGCAACTTTTTCAGTTCTATGCCAAACGTCGTTTACTGCTGGCCGGTACGAACTTCCAGCAGAAACGCTCATACCGAGTTACTTGGAGACCATCAACCGCAAGCTAGTCATGGACTCAGTGAGGCTATGTGGCCGTCAGTCACCGATGGAGAGTGCCAATTAAAGCTTGCAGCTCCACCTGGAGTACGCAACTTGGCTCCGATCATACCAATATGCGGGCCCGGTTATCACTTCACTTACCATCAACAGTACGCATGCGGAAGCAGGGCAATTCCATTCGTCAACTCGATACGTTTCACTAGCTCAACAGTATCGAGCTGACCTGGTTGGGAAGCTACCGGGAATGTTGTCACGTTGGTGACGAAGAGCAATTGGATATGGAATGGAGGGTAGAAACAAACCATGTTGTCAGCTTTCAAAACTGTCTGTCCCTGCCATCTGACTCGACCAAGTAAACAGTGGATAACGTCAAAATCAGCAGACTTAAAGCTGTCGGAAAAGCCACCTAAGCAACTAGTGACCACGGTGGGCTAGCTCAGATCAATACTGCTGAACTATGACAGATATTTGAAGCTGGGTTGGCGTTTTTATTGATCAGTCGTTGGGGCCTTAAGGGAAAACGGACTGTCAAACGTGCTCGCACTATGGCTTGGCAGGAGTCAAGTTGTGTGCCCCAGAATGAACAGCTGCCCACTACTAGCCGATAGCCACGTGATCTAACTGCGTCCATAGTGGATTTGCACTTGGATGCCGCCATGTAAGGCGGTTCGAGGGTGCTGATGGTAGATGATCGGCACGCAGCTGAAGTTGTTGCTGTTCGTTGTCTGTGTGACCAGCACTGACTCCAAATCGACCACCCAGATGTGATTCGAAAGAATTCAGACGATCAACTTTGGCATTCGTATCACCCGTAAGGATCATAATATTAGGGCGAAACGAATCAGTGGCCAGAGTGCGAATCTACTGGGCGGAAGCTCCGTGACTCGAACCCAACCTCTGCATCTCGACTTCCCCTGTCTAGACTTGGGCAATCTGGCAGTATCTCAGCCCTCGTGCTTACTTCGGATGGCATGGCGATTAGGCACCGAAAGGGTGCTACAGCTGAAAGAAGTTGCTTCTTGTTTAACGAATGAGTTCGGATAACTTTTAATCGAAAGTATCATTTCGATGTCGGAACCGCAGTCCCTTGAGGTAGACGCAGATACTACGTGCCGAATAGCGTTGGGCTTGATTAAGATAGATAACCGAACTGTTAACTGTAATCCCATCCGGTAAAACGCGCTCTGCTTTGGGGCTGAGCGCAACTCCCAAGAAGTATATTCCACGAGTCATCACTCCCGGATCACCGGACATATGAAAAGTAAAGCCTCAAAGAGCTGAGTTCGTCCTGGGCACTCTAAGATTCGTCCCCACACTTGGGTGTGGTACGGTTTCGGAAAGACTGCATACATCAATTTCAGGAAAGTATAACATCTATGGAAGCACTGCCTGTTTGCCGATTTGACATAGGGTACGGACGTTGAAAGTTTGCATGAAAAAGGGTCCTGCGGGTCCAGCAGTGTCATTTGGTTTATTGTTAATGGGCGGTGGAATAGGCCGGTCAGATAACTGACAATCAAGTTACCCAGCAGCGTCTGCGTTTGGGGTTGGAAGGGAAAAACGGCGGAAACAACTGTTCGGCCAAACAATACTTCCTGGTTGCCCAGACGGGTTGCCCAGTTAAGGTATCCAATCATGAGTCTGTCCCAAAATTCTAATCCACAAGGCAAAAGCAGGAAGTAAGGTTTTGTTCTGGGAACCTGTCCCTAGCTCCTGACTCGAGTCTGACAAGGGGAGCAGTGAGCCGTACGGTTTTCTTGGAGGGCTGTCCGGACCCGATGACTCAAGTCTGACCTGCATGGCTACAAGCATCTGGCCAGATCCGACGATCCAGGCGTAGATCAATCAATCCATCAATTCAACAGCCATAAATCGTGCGTTGGAGGGCTGTCCGGACCCGATGACTCAAGTCTGACCTGCATGGCTACAAGCATCTGGCCAGATCCGACGATCCAGGCGTAGATCAATCAATCCATCAATTCATCAGCCATAAATCGTGCGTCATAGGCACGTTGATTCCAGCTGCTACAGTTTTGATCACCGGAAAACGGGGAAGTGGAACACACAACCAAGTCTTGGAGGCGAAGACATATTCATTTTGTTCAGAAATTGGGTAGCTACACACTGAAGGCGACTAATTTGATGCACAAGCGCCACTGACTGTGCGATTGGGCCATTTCCACCAATTTCATTAAGCACTGGTGATTTGGGTTCCTGGATCCCCATCCACGGAGGCAGCAGTTGACCACTCGACTAATTTTACTGGTTAGTGTTGTCGTACTTCGTTGCCAGATCATGCGCTGTCCACATCTCGGTTGCTTCCACTCAGCACGGGGCTGGGCGAAAATAGTTCTGTGAGGCAGACGGTCTTCTGACATGCGGACTACATGTCCTAACCACCGCAACCTATGAAGCGTGAGTAGTTCATCCATCGCGGAAGAGTTCCTTCTTCCTAAGACCATCTGGCGTACCTCAGCAGTACTAATCCGATGTTCCCATCACACCTGACCAATGCTGCGGAGACACCGATGATCAAACAGATATCCTTCGTATGTCCTCTGCGCGTAGGGTCACGTCTCTGATCCATAAAGCAGTATGGATCGCACCATCGCAGAGTAAACTCTTCCCTTGACAGACAAGATCACGTCACGCTGGCGCCATAGGTGTCGGAGGTTAGCAAAAGCTGCCCTGGTCTTTCCGATTCGAGAAGTAACTCATCTCCAGGCAGTCCATCGGGACTTGTACAACTGTTCAGATAAACAGATTTATCTACCAGGTTGGTTGGCTCGTCTGGAAGCATGAGGTTTGAGTTTGTTCCCACTCAGTCTTGTAGCAGCACTTTGTACTTTGCAAGTGTGAAGCGTAAGCCAAACCGCACGGCAGTGTTGTTAAGGTTATTTAAAGTGGTTTGCAATTTTGAGAGGTCTGAACCAAGAATAGCAATATCGTCCGCATACTGTGAGTGAACGTACCGGGCGCATTTCGACTCCCGAGGTCTCAGAGGCAGGCATATGAATTTCAAGCAGTAGATCAATAACGAAGTTGAAGATGAAAAATGACAGAGGTTAGTCTTGTCTTACGCCACTGGATGCGGTGAACTCAGGCGAAAGCTCCCCATATACTCGTACGCACCCACAGGAGTTCACATACACAGTCCTCATAAGGAATGAAAATTTGCGACACTTGGTTGCTAGACACTGTCAAAATTTCCGACGATCAACAGAGTCGAAACCGGCTTTCAGACCGAAAAACGGTCAAAGCCGGACGTTTGAAGGGTGGCGCTGTTCAGGAACTTATCTCAAGGTGAAAATATAGTCGATGCATCCTGAGCCAGGGAAAAACCCAGGTTGACCCTCCTGAACCTGTGTACTTCGATGATCGATCAACCTGCGCAAAATAATACCAGAGAGAAATTTAGATGCAGCGGATACCAGCCTGATGCCACTATGGTTTTCGCATGACGTACTTGCGCCTTTCTTTAAAACTGGGATGACGACCAAGGAATTCTACTCGCTCCAAATCCTCTGCAGTATGGTTGTCGAACTGTTCACCAGAACCTCATCACATTTATTGAAAAGTGCTGGGTGCAGACAATCCGGGCCAGGTACCTTGTCGCACCCTGTCTAGGCTTGGGTAACCTGACAGTATTCCGGCCCTCGTGCTTCGTTCGGGTAGTATGGCAGCTAGGCACCGGAGGGGTGTTACAGCTGAACGATTTTTTATCACCACCGGATCTCTGCTGCTGATGGCGGGTTGGTATCGATGTTCCATCCATGCGCAGTAGGCTCTTCCAGCGGTTCTGGTGGAGGGGGTCAGCTGAACTGCTCTTGGAAGTGATCAGTCCATCGCTCGAGACGATTTTGAGAAAGAATTGTTTTTCCGTCTTTTTCGCATCTCGTTTCTCTGGCACATTTCTTCTCCTTTGATCCGTCGATCGAGTCGATTGACACAGGACGCAGCTGCTACCTGTATCGAAAGTCTTCTCCATCTCCAGGGCCTTCGAAATCCACCGGCGTTTTCTGTCATTCTTCAAGCTCCTGATCATCCGGGACTTGTGTGCGAGCTGCTGGTGTGGACTTTCTAGCAGCAATAAGAACTGCTGATTTCGACGATTTCCAGTGTTCATTTAATCGAGTCGAATGGTTTGGACAAACGGCCCCGAAAACTGAGAACACAGCTCCTTTCACCCGCTTCCATTCAACCTCCAAGCAATCTTCGCCATCTGTATGACTGTGTTTCCAATAGCTTTCTAGCCAGCTACCGGAACCTATCGGAGTTAGTGAATGGAGCTACTCCGCTTCGGCATGCGTAATGTTAACGGAAAGCGAACTAATAACCGGGCTCGCACAATGGCGTGATAAGAGGCAAGTTGCGTATCTCAGAAGGAAGGACAATCCTTGATTGAGGCCCTCTATCGGTAACTGATAGTCACATAGTTCAATTGATTCATAGTCACCGACAGTGAGCTTGAAGAAAGCCGTGAGGAATTGTGGACTAGGAAAGCCAAAAACATGGAAAAGGTTGTTAAGGCCGGTAATAGCCGTGTTTTGTTTCACCTCGTTAGAGGGACCAGTAGAAGTCCACAGTAAGCTAATTCACGCATTTCAGTTCACTTAATTTTTTTAGCTTGCAAACCATGCACAAAAGCGCAGTGATGCCAGCTGCCACAATTTTGTTCACTGATGACAAGGCGAATAAGGGAGGGAGAGCCACACGTTCGAGGCTATCACCCAAACTGTGAATTGACGACAAACGAGTCTGCTTGTCGGGTATGGCAGAATGAGAGGAAAATCGCTCAGCTATAACACCCTTTCGGTGCCTAACTGCCATACCACCAGAAGGAAGCCCGAGGGCTGGGATACTGCCAGGTTGCCCAAGCTTAGGCAGCGACACCTTTGATGCCAGCCCACTAATGGCCGTGTGATACACCATATCTCTTAGGGTCAAGAAACTGATTTGTTTCATCTCGTGGTCTCCATCCGGGGAGACGGCGGTTACCACCGCGACTCAATTAAATAGTAATGGCTTGCATGCGTTGTTGCAAGTCATGGACTGACCGCTCCGGTCGTCTTCACCCGATACAAGACTGGAAAAAGAGGGCTCTAAGAGGTAAACAGTCACCTGACATACGAAATACACGGCCTAATCAGCGTAATTCGTGGAGTGTAATCAGCTGGTCTGTCTAAGAGCAGACTTTCCTGAAAACTGCCTGGGGTAACGAACCGCCATTGATCCAATGGTCCCAACAGACCCGAATCAATTGCCAAACAGAGTCTTCGAAGATCCTCTGCGCGCGGCGGTCGTCTTGGATCCATAATGCAGGCCAGATCAGACCGCATTGTACACTACCCCAAACAGCCAAGCTGATGACACGTCGACGTCACAAATGTCGGGTTTTGGCAGATACTGTCCTCGCCTTATAGACTCGGAGAGTGATTTCATTCTCAATCAGTAATCCGGGACCTCGGCAGCTCTCCAGATAAACGAATTTCACCACATCGATTGGTTCAAATGCAAGCATTAGGTTCGGCTTTGAGTCGGTCCAATATTACACCAGTACTTTATACCCTTACGGCAGTGAAGCATCGGTGTTGAACACTGATGTCTTGCTGATGATGATGACTTTACACCCCTAAAGGGACGAAGAACATAAAGGAATTTACAGCGGAATTATTTGTTATTAAGGGCCTGGTCCAAGAAAAGTAATATCATCAGCGCACTCAGTGTTTATGAGCAAACGTCCCAGGGGTACTTCGACCCCCAAACCGTTAGAAACAGATGAGCATGACTCAAGAAACATCAGTACGACATTATTGCGATAGAGGACGCCCCTGTCTAACACCAGAGGATGTGGTGGACTAATGAGTTTGTCGTAGAAATGGTTCAGGTGGTTATAGCGCGAATTTACTGACCGGAATGTCCGTGGTTCGAATCCGACCTCCGCCACTCGACTTCCCCTGTCAAGGCTTGGGCAACCTGGCAGTATCCCAGCCCTCGTGCTTCCTTCGGATGGCATGGCAGCTAGGCACCGGAAGGGTGCTACAGCTGAACGCTTTCTTTCTTTTTTCTTGTCGTAGAAATCAACGGGAGGGATCTTCGTAATAGACAACACCCTTCATCGCTATATCACCAGTTTCTGATGACCAACGGAGTCAAAAGCAGGTCTGGGATCGAGAAGGACGAGCGCTGCCACAACACGGTTAATGGGATGGGTTAGTGGAGTATTTTAATTGACGTAACAATAGACAACGGCGTTGTTGAGGTTCCCAATACGGAACTCACAGTAACGCGTAGGTTTGACGGTCCGAACATCACAAGGAAGAGTTGGGTTCGAAAGTGGACAAACCTTAACTGTCCACGTTCGAAGCCCAAACAAGTGCGCAAACCATCAACAGTAGGCAGTGTAGGCACTGCCGCCTGAGCCATATTCATGCAGCGAAGCCTCAGCTTTGAACACTGATATGCCGTCCATAATGATGATGATGGTGACCGTCAAGCATGTCAGAGTGAGGAGCTAAACACTTATCAAACTGGCGACTGGAGACGGTCGCCAATATGACTAAATCACAAGATTAGTGGCACTCTCCTCGCCACAGCTTCTGATTCTTAAACTTGTTTCCTCAGCGTCCCTTTTGGCACTTAGCTGTTTTTCTTTCCATTTTTATTCTTCATTGCTCTTGGTAAGGATATGATGACTAGAACTGCCGCATTCGACCACATGGCCGGAGAGCATGTAGCACTTGTAAACTGCTCTTTTTCATGCTCAGTATCATCTTCTTTTTTCCCATCATTACCAGTCACATCGCTGTACAAAAGTTTGTTTTACTGAAATACAACCGCTACCGCCGCGCGTTGGCTCCAACGGGACTTTGAGACTTTTACTGAGTCTCTGTTGTTGTGACCGCCGGTTGACTATATTTGGCCGCTGCCAACACTAAACGTGAACAAACATTTCAG